CTATCAGATTAGTTCCAAGCGTCGTGCTGGCTCCATCGTCCCGCTCCCAGAATATAAAAATCCTTGCATCCGCGATTATTTTTAACACTTACAACCTCCATTTTCTTCCCTTCGTCTTTTGATTATTCTCACTCGACCTGGCCTCTTTTAATTATTCCTTCTGTACGCTCTTAATTGTACGCTCCCGAGGAACGTTTTGAAAAAAGAAGAAGAAGAAGAAGAAAAAACTGGAGGAATCGAGATCTCCATTTTTAATTAAAATTAATTAGACACGTAGCCCGATCGGAATTGAGAAAATCCTTGTAAACACGAACGAAATACTTTAATCATTGCAACCAAACTTTCTTCAATTTCACATCAATTTTCTTCACAAATTGATCGACACTTTTATTATAAACGGATGTAAACTCGCGTGAACGATTATTCAATCTTGTTCCCTGTTGCAATCATTTTCGAGAAACGTATCCATTCATATATACACTTATGATTCCATTTCGAATTAACTCTCATCGTGGCACGATTAAATATCGTAATCTCAAGCAACGTGTACGACGATACAATACGTGGAACTATACGACGAACTATCAGGACAAAATAAATAAAACTGTGAATTTTCTTTCGGCGGAATCAAGAGCCGGTTATACCGTACCCGTATATAAAAATATCCTCCCCTCGTCGAAAGAATAACGCGAATCCGCCTAAGAATAACAACGTGTTTCGCGAGTCTGCGGATTGAAATAACCGCACGCCCCGACATTTTCCGCTCCTCGATTATTTACCAAGGTACCAAGGTTTATATATCGTGAGAGACGCCAACGGACGGGCAGCAAAAGTTATTACAACGATTCACGATGCTAGGTCATGCGTGTAATAAGAATTCTCTATTCTATAAAAAATTAAAAAAAAGGCACATACTAATCGAATTCATTGGAACGATGTAAGATAACTGAGACAGAGACAGAGAGAAAGAGAGAGAAAGAGAAAGACAGAGAGACAGAGAAAGAGAGAGTGAGAAAGAGAGAGATAGAGAGAACAAAAAAAGGAAAATAAGTAGAACGTGTCATCGATCCGGTTGGCGAGAACGCGCATTTTTCTCAGAGATCCTTTTGCGATGTCGATAAAAATAATCGCGATGTATAGGGTGTAGCAAACAGAGGAGAGCAAGAAAAAGAATCAGAGGTAGAAAGGAGACAAAACGTCTACGGACAATTGGTAACTGATTACAGTGTCGCAGCCATAGCTCGATGCATCTGCAGGTACCCTCTTCTCATTTCATATTTGCGCGTTTCAGGAGAGAAAGAGAAAAAGAAAAAAAAAAGAAAAAAAAAGAACGAGTCTTGCAATCGAATAGACGATTATTTATTATATAAAGCTCGAACTATTTCATTCTTATCTTTTTCTTTTTTCAGGTATTTAATTTCATTCCCTTTTCTCATTTGTATCATTATCACGTATGCAATTTTTATTCGATCTCTTTTTTTTTTTTTTTTTCATTCATATCCCAACCCCTCTTGTGCTATCGCCGCGCCACTGCGTGCACGTGCGATTATAGTGCTTCCAAAGTGAATTTGTGCTCGAACAAAAGTTGTATATACTCGAAAGGGGGAGGGGTGAGAGGGAGGAAGTGGAGGGAGAGAAACTCCAAGAGTTTTGTCCTCAGTCGATTCAACTTAATATCGACCAATTGAGGTTTGCTCATTCACGTATCCCCGCGAACGAAAACTATGCGCTTCGCGATACGATCAAAATTGTTATTACACGCTCGTTCTCGTACGATACAAATAATCAATCATCATTTGAATCATTTTTATCATTCGTCGTGCGTGAAATAATCTTCGAACGGAGACGGATGTAAGAGAAGAAACGAAAAGTGAACGATCGATCGGATCATCATTCGGATCCCTAAATGTTTAAACGAAATTGGATTAAAAGGATGCAATACAAAAAAATATATCTAACGTGGGAGGATAATCTAATCGACATATTCTCGGAGCATTCAACGTATTTGCCACAAGTACACACGACGAAATCGATATCCATGATGGCCGGATATATCTCGAGGAGTCTTTTCTTTTCTTTTGTTTTTTGTTTTTTTTTTTTTTTTCTTTTAATTCTTCATCGCAACTACATTAACAATCTTCATAAAAAAGACTTACTTCCTAAAAGGGGATGAAATGAAATTCTCTTTAACTACGTGCACTTCACTCAACAACAACACGGTGCTGTCTCTCAAATAAAAGAGCACGCAATGTTCGGTTACTACATAATGTCGAACCGGTGTGTGCTTTAATAAACGAAATTTTTCGAAACGGGGAGAAAGAAAGGGGATCAAGAAGCGGGATAAACATGGTTTTGGAGTCGATGATTGTTAACGATTTCTCGTCGTTCCATCACCGATTCCTCCTTTTCGCGAAGCAGAGAGAAAGAAAGAGAGACAGAGAGAGAGAAAGAGAGAAGAGGAAAGAGAGAACGAGAACTTCATTTGACAGAAAAGACAGACAAATAATGGAGGAAAGAATAGAAATAGTTAAAGAGGAAGAAGAAAAAAAGAAACAGAGAGAGAAAGAGAGAGAGAGACAAAGGCAGAAAAAAGGACCGTGAAAGCAGAAACATCCCATCTTTGTTCTATGTAATTTGCACACACAAACTGGTAACACGCAGGTGTCATACATAATTCGTTTTGAATAGGAGGAATGCTGTGCACGTGTAAATTATACCTGTAGATTCGTTCAGATCGATCGGAGAAAGCCTTGCTCGTGTTTATATACATGGTCGTATCTTCATCGTTCGAATACGTATTCCTTAATGTTCCACGCTATTTAAAAATTTAGAATTTTTCCGTTCCTCCCCATTTCTGAATTATGTAATAATCTTCCAACGATTCACGCGATCTTTACACGGTTCACGATTAAATTAAAAGGATTCCATCTTTGTTTGAAAGCGAACATTCCAAGCGAAACGGAAAGTAATTTACACCGATGGTGCAGTTTTTCAAGGAAACAGAAACACATACAGTTATTTCGAAAAAACTATTTCATTAATTCTCCCGAATTAATTCGAATGAACCTGATCAATTTGAACGAAGCCCACGTGTGCGAGAGAAAGAAACGTCCTTTTTTCTGAGAGACGCGACGATTGTTCGGTTCGCGAGATCAGACAGTTTACACGATATTAAAGAGAGAGAGAGAGAGAGAGGCGAGAGATGAGGGGTTGTCGTCTAACCGGTGGCGAGGGCGCGATCGGTGATTTTCGCGGTTGAAAACTTTATCCCCCAACCGTCTGATCTCGTCAAAGCGCCGCCAATAATTAAAGTCGTTTAATCAACCGTAAAATCGTATCAAAGTGTGCGTACACGGAAGCACGGATGGCGTGACATACGTTCACGGCTCTGTCCCTGTAACGAGCATGTATATCCGCAACAAGGGAGCTCGAACGTGCCCTCTTCCTTACAATTAAGTTAATGAAACGCGATCGGGGTAGGGCGCGCGTAAATACGAAAAAGGAACACCCGCGAGACTGGAATTCGAGGTAAAGTGTATATAACGTGTATAAATATATATATATATATATATATATAGTGTGACAAAAAAAAAGAGGTGAAAGAGAACGGAAGGGGAAAAGAGAACGACGCGAGAAACGGGGGAACTGTGTCATTTCGACATTTAAAATAATCTGGCTGAAGAGAGAGCAGGGCGCTCGGTCGATCAATCGGGTCAAAGGGCGGTGGGGGTTAAGCCGGGGTTATTTACGTAATATCCGAAAGTACGTTTAATCATTTTTGAAAAAAAAAAAAATATACATTATAAGCGAAGACGAGGTTGCATCGAGAAGGTGGTTAATGGAATTCCATGATTCGATCGGGGATTTCCACCCCTCTCTCCCCTCGAATATAATTTAAAGCCGGAAATTCCTTTCTCGAAACCGTCGATTCGTATCGGGAGAAAGTTCAAGCGCCATCCATTCCATTCTCTTCCATTCGACGCGTTAACACAACTCGATTTTCATAACGCGACCAAAAAATCCTTTTCTTTTTTCTCTCGCGTATCCTCCCGAATTTGTGCAAGATCGTTGCGTAGAATCTGTCGTTAATTAATTTCCGGGAATTTCGTGGGACGAAAAATTTCATTGCCACTCGACAAGGACGAACGAGCGCCCTTTCGAAAACGTTTTTTTTTTTTTTTTTTTCACTTTAAACGCCGCACGCTTGGAATAACCGCGAAACACCGTCTTCTCCGAATTAAACCGCGCCCTCCTCTCTCTCTCGTCGAAATTTCAACCTCCTCGACTCGTTACCGGCAACATTGAATACACGTTTCGTCGAGAGCAAGCCTCCTCTCTTTTGGATCGAGCCTCGAGAGCCGGCTGGTCTCGATTCCCTTCCACCTTCCATTCCCCCCGAAAGCGTATATATATATGTATATAAAGCGCGTAACTCGGGTGATTATCGCGACGATGACTTCCTTCGACGATATCTAAAGCGGTTTTCGATATCCGGCGAACCGACCAATCGTCAGGGCGCTCGACGAGACGAGACGCCCCTCGTCTCTGAAATGATTCCCGCGAGGATCGGAGGAGAAGAGCAGAGAAAAAGAGAAAGAGTGAATGTAAAATTAGTATGAATAGTAATAATAATAGTAGAAGATATATATCTGAGTGGTGCAGTGGCTGACGAGCAAGAAGGGGTTTAACGTATCGCTAATTACGTACAAACAGCGTGGATATTGTTTCTCGTGGATCGTGTGAGATTTAAGTCTTTGCTCGCGTCGTGATCGAGAAGAAATCAGAGCAGAACAAAAGGGAGGGAAGAAGTAATCGATAGATACGGAGGGGGGCACACGATCGACGAGAAATCCACATCGCGTGTGGAATTCGGATGCATTGGTTCAGATAAACCAGGATATTAAAAAGCGAAACGATAGATCTCGGGATCAAGGACGCGATCCTGAGAGATCAGGACGCGGTCCTACGATCTTAGGAACCAAGGATCTTGACGAGGGTACCTGAGCCACACATGGGCCGGGCTGCTCGCAACTGCATTGCCGTTTCGCTCGTTAGCAGGGCTTTCCATCTCGTTCGTTGTTCGCACTTTCCTGATTGGTCAGAGACTGATCAGACATAAGATCGGTCGTGCATGATCCGATTGGCGATCATGTCCTAATTTCAACAGCCCTTCAACGTTTGAGATCTCTCTCGCGTACGAGCGATTACCAAAGAAAACTTGTGTCTTACTCTTTTTTTTTTTTTTTTTTCTTTAACAGTATTTTATATACGTACTACCGAGATTGCATCTCGTGATTCCTTTTTTTTTTTTTTCTTTTTCGATTCGTGATTCAACCTTTCGCTTCTTATTAAGTATTGAAAGTATCCGCCATTTTGACCGATTATCCCTTCGTTAAAGGGCAGGTATAGAGCATCGATTCAATGATTTATGCACGATACTTTGATGCACGAAAGGTGGAATCCAACGGTCAATAATAAATCGGGAAGAGGGGGAGAGGAAGAAGAGGAGGAGAAGGAAGAGGATGGATATAGAGAAACAATGAAACTTTCAATTTATTGACCAACATTTCTCTCCTCGATCGAACTTTTTTACGATGTACACACGACGATTCTAATACGGGCTGAAGAAGGTAGAAAGAGGTCAAAGTGTGTAGAAATTTTCCACCTATCTATGCATATCTATTTTAAAAAATGGCTTCATCATTTGTGAAAATAATCTTCAAAACAAATAATCTCAAGAACAAATAGAAAAACTCTATAGAGATGTTTAGGAATTTAAATATTGATGCAGCGCTGTATACATTGTCAACATATATTTTTATTGAATAATTAATTGAGCACGTCTTTGAAACCCTAGTTGTTACGAGTATCTTTTAATTTAAATATTTATGGCTAGCAATAAAAATTATGTGTTATTTCTTTTATCCTTGAAATTATTTAAATTATGTAAATTTAAACAACTGTAAATCTCATTATAAATATAATTTAAGAATACGTATTAATGATTTAACAAATATTTATCATTTTTTTCACAAATATGTATTTACATTATCTCGTCGCATTAAGCTTTACTAATTTCATTCTCGACACTTGCTCCGTAATTTTCTAAATTTGATTGAGAAATATTAGAAACAATTCTAATGCAAATAAATTTTCGTTGATCGATATTTCTTAATAGATCTTAGGAGAAATAACACCAAAAATGAAAATAACGATGAAATTTCTAAAGATTCCCTCGTCACAATTCAATCCTGAAATAATAATAAAAAAAGAAACTTGGCAGTTCAATAATGACGTTCCGACAATATCATCAACGTCTCGTGTTCGAACGAAATTTCACTCCATTCACGATTTTTCACCCACCAAATATCTATCTTGGCTCGGCTGCCAACGATGCGATTAAACATTCGGTTTAACACCGAAGGCAGGTGCATCGATAGTCATCTTACTTTTTCATCGTGGGGAGGGCGCATCACTTTCCAAAACATGCCGATACTTCCCTCGATAAACAGAGTCTCTCGCCTCCCTTGATCGTATCGCGCACCTATCTATCTATTTTCCGATACTTATTCCTTCGTTCTTTCCGAACCGAAACGTGGCGCGAGGAGGGAGGGTTCGATAAAGGGAACGCGATCGAGTTCTCAGAAGAAGATCTTTCCCCTTAAAGAAGAAAATCGAGTAGAGTGGAGAATCGAGGAACGGAAGGGAGAGACGAGGAAGTGTGAGAGCAATCGAAATGAATGGAAAAGAAACTAATGATGATGTAAAAGAAACGAATTAAGAGATTGGTGGTTGCAAGAAAAGGAAAGAAACGAGGAATGCAATGGGAAAAAATAGGGAAGAAGCGAAAGCAAATAGAACGATGAACAAAGGAAAATGGAAGTGCAACAGAAATAACCATAAAGAGGAATATAACGGCGTAACGAAAAGAATAAAAGAAGAAGTGGAAACTTTAACGCAAGAAAACGGAAACAAAAAATGAAGAAACAAAAGAAAATGATGCGAAAATAATCCAAAAAATACGCAAGAGAATAGGGATTTGCAAAGGACGCAACAAAAAGAGATGGAATAACGGAGAAAAAAGGAAAGTGGTACAATCTGGAGAAAAAAAAATATAGAAAAATAGAGATGAACGATTGAGCAAAAATAGAGAGGAGAATAGAGGAGAGAATGGAGAGTGGTAATTCGGCGGAAGGAAAGAAGAAAAAAAATAAAGAAGGTGAACAGTGTGATGGCGCAGAGGAAACAAACGAAACGATAAAAAAGAAAATATAGTGGTTAGGAAACAAGCAACAAAAAAAGAACAGAGAAAACTATAGAGATTGGAGTAAGATTGGAATTGGGAAGAATGATAGAAATGGACAGAAATGGAAAGTTAGTGGAATCGAAAAAAGTGGGAAGGGAAAAGAAATGGGGGGATATAGTCGAGCGGAAAATAAACGAGAGAAGTGGTGGTGTAACGGAAACAAATGGAAGGGTGGAGAAGAAAACGGCGAGGAAGGGAAAAGAGAGAGGGATAGGTCGATTGTTTCGCGAGATCTCTATATCCCTATGGCGCGTAAGATATCGGCAAGTATACGAGAAATCGGAGGTTGAAGGAAATCCAAGACCAAGTGAACAGTGATTTTCAAAACTGCGATCGAATCGGACAAGTGGCCGAAATAACCATTCGCCAAGACGAAGCCTCCTCGACTCGGGCTTAAATTTAGATTGCTTCGATGTGGTCGAGTGTGTATATCGGATTTTTGGATATGCACGCGCTAACGTGGACTTTGATTATCGTAAGAAGGTATAAATGGGAAACAGAGAAAGAGAGAGAGAGAGATAAATATTCTTTTTTAACTTCCAACCATCGAGATTTTATCGTAAACGGATGGGATGGAATTTTCCCTCTGTTCGTGTTTATCATAAATTTATGGAAAAAAGTGTGGATATCGTTAGATTGGTGCTTGAAACAAGACGTAACAAGATGAGGCGTATTATTTTTATTGGAGATTGGATTTTTTGGAAATTTTATTTCGTCCGGAATTCTATTGGCGAAACATTTTTTAACTGCACTTTTTATTTTATCCGTGTTTAAATATTGCTTTTAGATAGATTGCTTTTTTTTAGATTAGGATAAAGGTTGTATTTAATAAATTAATCGTATTTCGTTGTATGCAGTAATTGAAATAATTAATAGGATGGTTAAATGCATAAAATCTAATCAATTAGAATGTTATGTATAATATGGAAATGAAAATTGAGAGAAAATTTTCAAAGCCTGAATTAATTAATATCATTTAAAATTCTATATTAGTAGTAGAATATTAAATTACACATAAATAATAATCTTAAATAATTATTATCGGAAATAATTTAACTTTGTTGAAAGCATAAACAAAATTAAGTTTAAATTTTCATTTTTTATAACACCTCGCATAAATTAAAAATTGTAAAACTGTATAATATAATATATATTACTTATATTTGACAATGAAATTTTTTATGCACGATAAAAAAATATTTAATATAACTATATAACTATCAACATATATCGAACGAAAGTAAGCCAAAATAAAAAAAAGAAAAAAAAAACATATACAGAAATATATACAAAATTATCCAAGAATTTTGCTTAATTTCATATTTTATCGAGCTTAAAAGTTCATCCAAAAATTTTACCCGTTTAAAAACTTACGATCTAATATTCTACTTTATTTATGTCTATTGTTAAATCTCACAAGAAACTAGAGTGTACTGTAAAATGTACTAACAATTTAATCGATATATTTAGCCTATATTTAGTCCTTAGATTTCATTGTGCTCTTTATGACAGAAAATCGTTGTGGCGTGATAAATTTCACATTAAAGTCCCCACACGCAAATCTCGACAAACGTTTAATTAAGGTTAATTTGTAAATCCACCGTCGCCGAGGATACAGGGAATTTATTTTACTTGTGACAACTAATTAGCTACAAACTACGGCACGTTGTAACCCATTCTGATTTATATAACAGGAAATTATAACTTCTCTATGAAACGATTCCAAGTGGAAGGGAAAAGTCTTTTTAAAATTCATCGCGTAATTAGTCGTTGCATCTCAAAACTTTGTTAAAAATACGAGGAATATACAAAGAGTATACGTGGAATAGCTAAAGAAGATGAACAAACGAGCAACTTCCATTTTTATCCCTTCTCATTTTTGTCGAGAATCATATGCAAACATCTTTCGCTTTTATATTTACTCTCCTTTCTAGATTACGTTCATAAATATTGTATATATTTTCCCCAAACTACGAAACATTACGACGTGTTAATACTCTGAAATATCTAATACAAAAATCGAAATTTGAACTTTTGTTGAAAAATTATTGGAATCAAATATTTTAATATACGTTCAAAACTATATAATATTTGAAAGTATAAATACCAAATTACGCACGATTAAACTTCTTCTTCTCAATCTCTCTATTGAATACCAAAAATTATCTTAACGCGACGAATCGTCAAAAACAAGTCAACCTGAATTCAAATTCGACGCGATATCGCGCGGGATCAATCCTTCCATCATTCTACCAACGATCGATAATTTTATCCGATAAGAAACGAACGAGAAACAAAAACAAAAAAAAAAAAAAGAGGGAAAAAGAAAAAAAATACACAACACCACGATAATTAAATTACGTATTCTCGGTCGTTAAAATTCTTCTCCTCGACGAGCTTAATATTCAAAACGAAGAACGGTCGGTGTTTCAGCGCGCGAGCGAATGCCAGCAAAAGGTACACGAAAGAAGAACGAGGGGCAAAGCGTGCGGCATTCGGCGGAATTCCATTAAACAAGTTGGCGTGGATCGGGAAACAGAAGGAACACGCGATGGAAGAATGGAGGAGAGGAGGGAAAGAAAAAGAAAAAGGAAAGGGGAGCGAAGAAAGAGAGAGAAAAAGAGAAAGAGAAAAGAGAAAAAAGAGAGGGAGGGGAAAAAAAAAAAAGGAGTGGTTGGTGAAACGTCAGCTTTCGTTGCCGGTAGGTTTATTATAAACGGCCTCGTTTTCCTCATTTCGCAACACGGTCAAGTGGAGCATCGCGTGGCGAAAAATAATTTGCGCCTTTGCGTCGAGAAA